AAGCGGCTGGTGATGCTGGGGCTGAGTTGAGGCTTGTTCAATGGCACCCGAATCCGAGCTGTCACTCTTTCCAACTGAATTCGCTGGGGGGGTTTCCCACAGGTACACCCTGTGCTGTTGCCTCCATTTTTGGGTGTGTTCTCACTGCTTTGGTGCGGTAAGCACTGTGCGAATCTAGGGGGATACTAAGCTAAGCAGAGTTGGGCTTAGCGCTGAAGAAAAGCCAAGTCCAGTGGACGAAAAGCTGTGGACGGACGATATCGGAACAGTGGAGAGCTTCTTTTTCTGCAAAAGGAGGTGGAAAATATTATTAGCCAGGGGATTCTTTAACTCAGCCTTCATCTCCTATCTTTGTCTGATAAACTTTGTTTTTGCAACCCAAAGCGACCCTTTCTCCGAAACTGAGCTTGTCCATATTGCTCTAACTTTCTGTTGTTTTTTCTTGGACTATAAATTAGAAGCACCATCCTTGGCGCAATAGGAATCCATCACTTACACCGCATTCTCAATTTCTCTCATACCGCGTCTTCATCATGTCTGTCATGGGAGATCACAGCTCTTCGGAGCTCACCATGACCGTTCTCGGTTGTGGTAAGTAAAGAAATCTCTTCTGCAAATAATGAGATGAAATATTCTGACTCTCAACAGGAACCATGGGTATCGCCATCCTCAACGGCATCTTCACTTCCCTGCTGGAGATGCAGGCTCCCAAGCCTCTCCAGACCCTCCACACTCCTTCGGCATCAGGCACATCCACCCCCTTGGGCGACGAGGTCCCCCATCGCCTACCATCCCGCTTCATCGCCTGCGTCCGTCGCTCCGACAGCGCCAAGAAGGTGAAGAAGGCGCTGTGGGAGCACTCCTCCATCCTCAAGGTCGTCCAAAACGACAACGTCAACTCCGTCTCCCAGTCCGACGTCGTCATCCTCGCCTGCAAGCCTTACATGGTCAAGGACGTCCTCAGCGAACCCGGCATGACCCGCGCCCTGCACGGCAAGCTCCTGATTAGCATCTGCGCCGGCCTCACCGAGGAGCACCTCGAGGAGATCCTCCACGGCGCCGTCCCGACAAAGGACCCCGAGGAGGACGGCCGCTGCCGCATCATCCGCGCTCTCCCCAACACCGCCTCCCTCATTCGCGAGAGCATGACCGTCATCGGCGCGCCCACCTACCCCTTACCGCGCGAGGCCGCCAACCTCGTTACCTGGATCTTCAAGCGCATCGGTGACGTCGTCTACCTGCCCGCCGAGAACATGGACGTCAGCACCGCCCTCTGCGGCTCCGGTCCAGCGTTTTTCTCGTTGGTTCTCGAGGCCGCCATCGACGGCGCCGTCGCCATGGGTCTCCCGCGCGCCGAGGCCACGAGGATGGCGGCGCAGACTATGAAGGGCGCCGCGGGCTTGGTCCAGAACGGTGACCACCCTGCTCTCCTCCGCGATAAGGTTACTACGCCTGGCGGATGCACTATCGGTGGTCTTTTGGTGCTCGAGGAGGGTCGTGTGAGGGGCACTGTCTCACGTGCCGTGCGTGAGGCTACTGTTGTTGCCGGCCAGCAGGGCCAGGGCATTCAGGGGGTGAACGGCACTCGTTTCGTTTCGCAGTCGGGATATCCTCAGTTCTGAGATGGTTGGAAAGGGTCATAGATTTCTACGCAAAAGTACATAATGTACAATCCTCATGAATAATGAAGAAATATTTGTTATCTATCTTGATTCATCTGGCCATCATCGTATTTACTCACTTCTCCCGCCCAATCAACATCTGGTTGAATGCTGCCATTCTAGATGATACAATTCTAAAGAAGAAGAGACAGCAAAGCCACTACGACATCTAAGCTGTCTCAAGCATCCATTGCCCTGATTAGGGTAGGATCTGAGAGTTATCAATGGCAGTCGCAGTTCTTTACTCTCCATTTCGGCATCTTGTACTTCAGACCAGAAAGAGGAGTAAAAGCATGAAACAGAAAATGGTTTTAATGATAGATCCCATTCAACTTATGTATAAACAAAATTGTAAAAGCTCTGTCCCTCCAACACTAAGGTACGTTGATCTCGGGAATCTGAATCACATAATAATGACACTATATTACGCTATGCAGTATGTATGGGTTCACACGATACTGAACGGAAAGCTGCGTGGCTATTATACTTTACATTCGGGCTAGACACCCGGGTCCACCCCTCTAATCTATCATCCCTATGGTAGTCGCCTTTCTTCGTCTATGTCTATCGCTAACAATTGTGTGGGTTGCATTGGCCTCTCATGACCACCATTTACACCATCTTACAGTCGCTACTCTCTTTTGACAAGTCCATGATGATGCCTTTTCATCCTCTGCTGACTGACGCACGAATTCATATCCCACAACGCTTAAAACCGAGAAATATCCCTTCCAAAAACCCAGGTGACGAACCAGTACACCGGGACCAGAATCTTGTTCCGAATACTCATCGATTTGGTCAAATAAGCACACCGCCACAGAATCCAAGCTGCACAGCACCTCGTTAGCCCATTCAGATCCCACTGCCTGCAATAGTACAGTATAACATACCTGCTCTCCCCTTCAACTCATCCGCAGAACTCTGATGAATAGCGCGCCAGCTACCCAAGTACGCCATGGCCCCGAGATTCCGGAACTTGAACGGCTTTCCCTCTTCGGGCCCGGCCGCCTGCTTGTTGAGCGCCTTGGCGAGGTACTTTGCCTGCTGACTGGCAACCTGGGCCGTGGCAGGCAGCGTCTGGCCCTCGAGAACAGAGCAGTCGCCCATGGAGTACACGTCCGGCAGCACGGCGCCCTCGTTCTTCGGATCGTCGAGGCGGACCCTCAGATGCGCGTCTGTGACGATACCACCGCTCCGCTCCGCCTTGAGAATCCTGACCATCTCAGTACTACCACCAGCACTCTGGTCTTCCGTAGCAGTAGCAGCAGCGACATTCGGGTTCCGCAACTCCTTCTTCATCAGCGTCTGCACGAGCGGGTTCTGCATCAGACCCGTGCTCCACACCACGATGCCCGCGCCGACCTCCTCCTCGCCGTGCTCCTGAATCTTGAGCCGCAGCGCGCCGCGCGGGTCCGTCTCGTCCGGGCGGATGCGCTGCAGGTGGTGGTTGGTTTTTACTTTGATGCCCTGGCGGCGGAAGAGGTCCTCGGCGTAGGAGGCCAGCTGCTGGTCAAACATGGGCAGGACCTTGGGCGCGATGTCGTAGATTGTGATGCCGACGAATTCCATCAGGTGCGGGTAGAGCTTGGAGAGGTCGTCGTGGATCAGGTCGTGAAGCTCGGCGGCGAACTGGGCGTGTGTTAGTGACGAAATATTTGGGGGGAAAAGGAGATTGGGTGTAACTCACCTCAATGCCCGTCGGTCCTCCGCCAACGACAGCAAAGTGAAGCAGCTTCCTCCTCTGCTCATCCGTCGTCGTCGGCCAATCCGCCTTTTCAAAGCACTGCAGCACCCTCAACCGAATACTCCTCGCGTCCCCGATATCCCTCAAGAAATTAGCATACTCCTTCACGCCCTCGATCCCAAACGTCTGCGAATACGACCCGACCGCCACAACAAGCTTATCATACGCGACATCAACCACCTCGCCCTTAGCCCGCGCGTGCGCATCCCGCGCCGGCAATGTCTTGGACGTGGCGTCCTCGGAAGTAACCTTTTCGACACGGATCACTTTCCGCGTGAAATCCACGTCGTCGGCCCAGGCCTGGTGGAAGGCGTCGAGCTCCAGGCGGCGGACGGGCTCGAGGACGGAGCGGAACTCGAGGGTGCCGACCGAGGTGGAGGCCAGCAGGGGGGTGAAGACGAAGTAGGAGCGCGGGGAGATGAGGATGCGCTCGTATTTTTTTGGGTCGAGCTCGCGGGCGAAGGCGTAGCCTGCCCAGCCTGAGCCCAGGACGACGACTCTTTCACGTTTTGGTTCTGCGGAGTGTGTTAGTGGGTGTTTCGTTGCGATGCCTATGATAAGTGTACAAAGGGTATGATTGCACAAAGAGTTGAGGGCACAAGTCAATGAGACGGATGTGTACCTGTCGGCGAGCTCGAACTCGTGCTGTTGCGATGGTTGACGAGACTCGTGTTAGTCAGAGCCTCAACCTGCAACGCCGTGCCGGCCGGCCCCCGGCGTCCGGGCCGGGCCAGGCTCCTCCAATATTGTTGTGCAACTTTCGATGAGGCCATGATGAGGTTACAGTCACACCACCTAAGAACCAACAGTAAAGAAAACGGGGGTCTAGCAGTTGGCTATATAAAACACCGCAAAGGCCCCTCCCACTCAAACGACCCAGCCCACTCCTTCCTTTGACTCCCCTAGTTCTCCGAACCCGTTGTCTACGGCCGTTCTACGGCGGTGGGTTAAATCCGATGGCCCAACGTAGGCGTTTGGCCCCTTGGGGGGCTCCTGGGCGGCGTTGACTGTTGGGAAAGGTGGGCACGATAATGGCTCGGGATGGGGATCGAGGGCGCTCGGTGTATCGGAGACTTGCCAAAGAGCGCGTGCTAATACGGGACGGGACGGGGATCGGGTGGCCCTGACATCAGGGAAAAAAAAAAAAAAAAAGTCCCGGGACCAGTGAGTCAATGCGCTTATTTCGTTCGCTCGACAAGCGGAATGGTAGATCCAAGGAATCGAAGTCAAGGGGAAGGTGGTTCTTTTTGGACAGTAGAATTAAGGTTGATTCTTGTCTAACTCAATTACATCTTTTCCTCACGTCACAATGCTTAGAGGCGCCTTGGTAACACCTACTAACACGGCGCCGACGGAACGAGTGACGTCCTCCGTCTCCACTTTTGCCCGTCCGGCGGCCCCGGCGTGGCGTTCCCGCTTTTTCTTTCCTTTGATTGTCCAAATGACGTCCCTAAAATTTCACTTTTTGTTTTCGCATGCATCGAATAAGGTACATGAGACGGGGTGGAATTGTCCGCACAAATCTCCGTCCGTAGAAACTATCCCACACGGCTCCGGGTCGCTCTCCCTCTCTCCATTTTTGGTCTAACCTTTCTCTACTGCAGCATAGAGTCCAAGCTTTCGCCAAGGACTCCCTCGATCTTGACGATCCACTGGTGCGTCTCCCGCTCGACGGTCTCGTCATCGTCGTCCTGGAGCTCGCTGATGTAAGGGAGCATCTCAGGCAGTGCCGACAGCCACTCCTCGCCGAGCTTCTCGGCAAGCTGCTGCTGGCACCTGACGGCCGCCAGACGGATGGGCGCGTGCTCGGAGCGGAGGTGGCGCAGGATGGCTGTGTTGAGCTCCTTTTGGTGCTCCTGCGAGTCCGCCGCCGAGGCCAGCTCGACCACCGCGGGAATGAGCTCGCCAGTCAAATCGAAGGACGAGGAGGCGTGGAGGAACTGCGCTGTCAAGACGGGAGCGACCTTGCCAAAGTGGGCGGGCGCCTGCCAGAAATCGTCCTGGTCGTGCTCGAAGCACCTCGCCAGCGTAGACAGCACGCGCTGCCAGAGCTCCTTTTGCTCGGGCAGCTTCAAGTCGGTGCCGTTGATGATCTCGACGGCGTCGTCCACAATGTAGGTAGCGTAGTTGGTGACGATGGACTTGAGGCCCTCGAAGAAGACCTGGAGGAACCCGTAGACGCTGAAGCGGCGCAGGGTACGTCCTGTGGCGTCTTGCTTGGGCAGCTGTGTGGACCACTCGATGATCTGGGTGAAGATGGGCCTGAAGGCCGCGTCGTTGAGCTTGTAAATCATCTTGAGCGTAACGTCGTTGATGGAGGCCTCGATCTTGGCAACATATTGAGCTGTCGCGTTTGTGAGCTTGCCCTTGATGTGTTCCCGTCTGCGAAGGTCCAAGGAGTTGAGCAGGATTGTGGACAAGGTAGTGACGTTCTTGGTGACAACCGATTTGGGCTGGCTATCAACCACAACTCCAAAGATGTCGACCCATTCCTCGGTGGCCTGCGTGCTTGTTAGTAGGGCTTTGCAAATCTCTCTGGGCAAACAACTTACGTCGAAACCAGCCTCGGCAGCCGGGATCCAGTTCTTCTGCAGGCTGGCCAACATCGTCTTGGCCTCAACCTTTCTGGCAAGGAATCTGAGACAGTTGATGCGCTCATCGTCGGCTTCGTTATCCAGGTTAGCCTCGGCTGACTTGTTGGAAGCAAGCAGGATATTATCCAGGTGCTTCTCCGAGATCATGTAAGGCAGGTGCTGCGCGAGAGCAGTGATGAATGCAAATGCCGCATTGTGCAGTTCGTTGGCGGCCTCGTCATTCTCCACGCTCTGCTCGATGTAGAGAATTGCCTGAGAAATAGCAATGTTGACAATGGGCAGAATACCGTCTTGAAGCACATCGACCAAAGAGGCAAGGCAAAGCAATGCCATGACACGGAGGCTAACATCGGGCTGGCCGAGGCAGTGGGGTCCGGCGATGGTTGCTGCCGCACCCGCGACGGCCTCGATATCCTTCTTGCCATACTTCTCTGCGATTTTGTCGATGCAAGAAACGGCAGTGTGCTTGTACTTGAGGTCGTCCGTGTCCCGGATCGCGGCGGTGAGCTGCGGCAGGAAAGCAAGAAGTGCCGTTCTGGAGGCAACGTCCGCAACACCCTCCTGGTCCACGCGGACCTCGAGGGCACGGAGGACCTTGCGACGAAGGTCAATTTCGGTACGGTCCAGGAGGTTCTCAACCGACTTGATGAACTCGCCGATGGAAAGGAGGTTGAGGAGGTTGGCCAAGGCATTGCCACAGCACTCGTGCAGCGCCTTCTGCTGCTTGACGGTCTCCGCAAGGGCCAGGACGTCTCTGAGAAGGATGGCATACAAGTCCCGAATCTTTGAAGAATCCATGTCGTCCCTCTCTGTGAGAATGGTAATCTCCTTTCGCAGTTTTCTGCTGGAGAGCAGAGCGGGGAACACAGTCAACTGCTGAATTGCAATGGCCTCGGGCTTCTTCTCTGACAGATCCTCGCCAACTCCCAAAAGGGTAGCCGAAAGGCCTGGCTTGGGCTTGAAAATGTCACTGATCAAGTCCAGGAGCTTAGCCAGGGTCTGAAGCTGCACCTCGGCGCTGTAGACGCCAAGAAGTTCAGATGCAAATGCCATGAGGTTGTCGTTGGGGCCGTATCTATCGACAAGCATAGCCAACAGCGCGTACAGAAACTCATCCGGTCCGAGGGTGTTAATGAGAGCGACAAACAGGCCCTGCTTGCGGTGTGCGGGGATGTGCTCGTAGGCAGTAACGAAGCTCTGCAGCAGCTCTGTGGCACCCGCAATGGGGTTTCTCTTGCCCTTCTTGAGCGACGCCATCAGGGGCGGCACAACCTCCTTGATGGTCTGGTTGACAACATGAGCTGAGTGATCATCGTTCTGGCGGAGGACAGAGGCACCCATGAAAGTGAAGATGGGCATCACGCTATGAAGCACAAGATCAGGCGCGGCAGTAGCAAGGCTGGCAATCAGGAGAAGGGCCGAGTTTTGCACAATGGGGCTGGAAGACTTCTGGATGCAGTTGACAAGCAAATCGCCGTGGCCTCCTGAGCTGTCAATCTTCAAGCTCTTGTTGTCTCTGTAGGCAGGGACCATGGCAATCAAACTTGTAAGCACCAGGTTTTGCAGGTATCCAAGCTCCGATCCGATGACAGTACGGAAGTGCTGAAGCTCAGAGAGAGTGCCAAAGAGGCTGTCCAGCAACTCGGGGTGGGTGGCAGGCTGCGAGCCGTCAACGAGCTGGAGGACGAAGGTGACGGATCTAAGGGTTGCGCTGAGCTCGGCACTGGCCTGGGCGCTGACAACACCTCGGTTGGCCTCGGAGGAGCTGGTCCTGCGTCGCTTGTTGGCAGGGGGCTCGGTGATGAGCTTCGTGCCGGTCTGGATAGACTCGAGGAAGTAAGCCAAGATCTCTGTCGTGAGCTCAACGTTTCTCAGGAAATCAGCCGCCTCGTCAGCGATAATGTCCTCTTCGTCCTGGGATACCTGTCGTGCCTGAGAGAGCTCAAGCATCGTCTGGGCCACATCAAACTTTGTATCGGCCTTCATTGAGCCCCACATAGCACGAATGCGCGCCGAGATGGATCTGACCAGCTCGGGACGCTTGGCGGAGGCGGAATCCTTCATAATGGAGAGGAGGCACTCGAGGCCTTCGCTGTCGTTCGGCACGACAATCTCGGCAAAGGTCGTATGCAGCAATGACTGGTCGACTTCCTCAGCCTCGGCCAGACGGTCCGCTTCCTCAGCGGACAACGACGCCCACCATCGGAAAGCCGGCAACAGGACCTTTGTTCTAGAGGTGGATGATACTCCCCTGATGCGGTTGAGGATCGAGAGCAGGTTGGACTTGACTCTAATGAGCGGCGTTGCGACGACGTGGCTGGCAAGGAACGAGAGAATCGAAGCCCTACCAGAAGAGCTCAGTGCCTTCTTTCCTTCGCTGCTCTCGCCCTTGGCGCTGCTGTCGAGTGTCGAGTGGAGGACGGCACGAATGTGATCCTCGTGCATGATGCACTCCTCTAGAGCCGGAAGAACGACGCCGTGAAGGAGGCGAGAAATGGTATCGGCATCCAGCCACTGCACCTTGTCGCTGTCGTCGTAAAGCTTCTTGCCACCCCAAACAGAAGCCTTCGCGGCCTTGGACTGGTGAGGGAAGAAGTGGCCTATTTGGATGAGGAGCTCAGCCGCAGCACGGCGAACCTTCTTTGAGGAGTCCACGAGAGCAATGAGGCAGTAGGGGATAAGGGCCTGGAAGTCAAGATCGTTGCCATCGCCGTCGCTCAGACGTCTCCTGACAGTGTCGACAGCAGCGGCGCGAGCCAGAGTCGGGTATGGGCCGGACCAGATGCGGACGAAGAAGGTAATGTAGGTGTGATCGCTGACTGCAGTTCGTCGGCTCAAAGACGGCAGCTGGTCGAAATCGGCCAGAAGTGTCGGGTCTTCGGACTGCTGAGACACGACCCGGAGGAAGAGTCTACTGAACTCGTCGTAGACGTCGCCAGTGCTAGTTGAGAGGCACGATGGGAGTGCACGCGTCTGGCCAGAGAGCTCCTGAATAGTCTCCCTCAGGTTCTCCTTTGTCGGTGCAACGGGTTGGGATCCATCCATCTCGGTATCCTCCTGGGTTCCGGGCAGTGCCTTTCTCTGGCGAATAGAGACATCGAGCTTCATCTCCAGCTCCTCCACATCGAAATCGACTTCCTCGAGAACCGTCCGGATAATCTCGCTAGTTTCTCCGGAAAAGCGCGAAAGATCGATGAGTGTCGAACCGAGCTCCTTGCGAATTTCGCCGTCCTTGTCGACCTCGTCGTCGAGTCTATGGGCCGCGAGAACCAGAGACTTGAAGATGACAGCAATCTGCTTCCCCTTCAGGATCTTGCTCATCAGGATTACCCGAATGATTGGCAGTCCCCGGGCATCGCCCTTCTTGCAGAGTCTTTCGATAAAGGCGATGCACAGGCCGTTGGTGAGCTTGTCCACCCTCCTTTCCTGTCCAAGCTCAACGAGAATCTCTCCAAGGTCCTGCACCTTCAACAAGGCCTTGGTGACCTTTCCAGAAAGCTGTTTCGCGGATCGGTACTGAGCCAGGATGCACAAGCACACCAGGCCAGGGCGCACAGTCTCGCTGGTCCAACCGTGGACAATCTGCTCCATGAAAGCCGACAGAGTCGCGTCGTCGAAGCTTCCCTTGGCCGCAACAATAGTGACGGCCATGTAAGAAGCGATCTGCATGTTGGGGACCTTCTTCATGGTCATTGCCTCGGCGAGGGTGGGGCCGACGCGATGGAGGAAGGCTTCGTTGTTGTCCTGCTGAACAGCCTGGCGACCTGAGCGCATGTTCTCAAGCAGACCGTTCACGGCTTCCGTCATGATTCCGCCCCAGAATGAGATCAAGGTCGGGTATTGCTGCTGGTTTCTGCAGGCCTCCAGGGTATATTCGGAGAGGGTGCTGAGGAAATCGGCTTTGTGGATCGCTTCGTGGACCAGAACAGATCGTGGAGGTGAAGTGAGCGACTTGATGTAAGGGTTCAAGAATCGGTACTCGTTGGGGATCTTGGACGGCAGGATCGAGAGTAAGGTGACGAAGCCGGGGATCGAGTGGTACGGGAGGAAGGTCGTGATCAGAGACTTTGTGTTGTTCTCGTGGATTCTGTGACAACGTCAGTATGGGAAATTCCGGTGAGACTAGAGGCTCCAACATACCTGAATCTTCGCACAAGCCATTCGAGGGCACGAAGCGAAGGCATAAGCCTCAGCCTGCTTCCAACGAGGCGCAGGAAGGACTCGACCTTCTTGTCTAATTCGGCATTCTCAGCGGCAGTCATTTGGGTGCGGTCCTCGCTCATGCTCTGCTCGCTGAAGAGCGTCAGGCCAAACGGCTTGAACCGTCCATCGAGCTCGCACAGCTCCTCGAAGCCTTCCAAGCATATCGTGTAGAGCGCCTGGTAGCTCTGTGTCGCCGCCACTCTCGGCTCGAAGAGGAGGGACTTTGAGTGGGCAGCCTTTTGCGCCCTGACATCCAGAGATGCCTTCGAGTTGGCGGCGATCTGCGCCAATTGCGCAGCAAGAGAGGACGCCATTGTCTAGAAAATTTGCGGCATTCCGCAGTGATCGAATACTCAATGGCGGGGGAGAGCAACGAGACTGGGGTTGTTTTCTCTTACAACATTTTCCTGGAGTTCTGGATTTTTTTTTCTGACGGGGATTAGTTCCGCCGACTTTTTTTTGGCTGATAAGCCATTGAGCGAATGGTTGACTCTGTAGATAAGGCTGTGGGTCCAATGGATGGACGACCCCCGCCAGTCCACCTCCACTGCCTTTGTTAACGCTGCCACGGGCCCTGCTTTGGACCAGGCCTCTGACGCGCCTTGTTCTCGGAATGTGTTGTGACGAGAGAGATTGATGATCTGAGCAATAATTTGGGTCTCGATTCATCACTATCAAGTCTCTCATATTTGGTGGACGTCATCAATAGGCCATATAACGCTGAGGACCCAGCAGCAGTCTATCGCTGCCACTGCTGTTAGTCTAAAGAGTGGAACCCAACTCCTCCTTCAAAACTCGGTGTTAGTGGTACGGTGTTCTCGTGCAATTGATAGGCCGACAACCGCAGACTGCAGGTACTCTCGCACAGCCTAACCAGTGAGGATATCGTCCTTTCGGCTAGACGGGATGTTCTGCCGTGTTAGTGGCTCCGAGGTGGTGTTTGCGAGATTGAGGAGAAGGGTGTTTTGGGCTCCCTGCAGTGAAGTCGCAGAGACACATATAAGCTGGGCAAGCCACTCAACACCATATACTGGATGCGTGTTCCCAATAGTATAGCGACATTGAAATAAGAATAGGAACCAACCACCATGGCTGTAAGCGATACCAGTTATACAGGCACCACACATTACTTACTGTCTTTGCAAGAAACCGTACCCTCAAGTTGTGCTCTTTGGAGATTCTCTGTTCCAAGGGTCTGTGGTGACCTTTGAAGGCTTTTGCTTCCAGGCCGAGCTTCAATGTCGTGAGTCGACCAAATCCAGGGTTTTAGGGTTCGGAACCAGACACTTACACACGCCGCTTCCAAGATGTAAATCGCCGTTATGACGTTGTCAACCGTGGGTTTTCGGGTTGGAATTCGGCGAATGCTTTGAAATATCTTCCCGAGATGTTTCCCCCTCCTTCACCTTCAGGGCCGCAGCTGAAGTACCTGGTCAGTAGCAACATGGTACCGATGGACAGTCAATGCCAATCTAACTCTCCCTAGTTGGTCCTTCTGGGCGCAAACGATGCAGTTCAGCCCATGCACACGACAACCCAAAATGTGCCTCTAGAAGAGTACAAGCAGAATCTCATCAAGATCGTCACGCACCCCAACATCACAGCCCATAACCCCAAGATCCTCCTCGTCACGCCGCCGCCCATCGACGAGATCCGCATCACCAAGCTGGACCTGGCCTGGGGTCACCCAAAGCCGACCCGGACCGCCAGGATCAGCGCGGGATACACCCAGGCGGCCCGCGACGTCGCCGCCGAGGTCCCCGGCGTGGTCTGCATCGACCTGTGGCAGGCTCTCATGGACCACGCCGTCGCCAAGACGCCTGGCTTCAAGGCCGGAGGACCCTTGCTCGGCACCCCGGAGCTCGGCGAGCAGGGCGGGCTCGCTGACCTCTTGCCGGACGGCCTCCACTTGAGCGGCGAAGCGTATAGGGTGTTTTATCAGACGGTGCTGCCTCACATTGGGCAAGAGTACGTCGGTCTGCCTGACGACGATCGTACGGACTATGTCTTTCCAGATTGGCGGGATCTCAACCCTCCGGCGTAGGTGAGATTGGCATGGACGAAGGAGAAGCTAATAGAGCGGCCCATGCGATGCTGCATGTATTCTGCAGGGCGGCGCTGCAGTGGCATTTCAAATCAAGTGGATTCTTTGTAAGAAACTGCCCGAGTACCCAAGATGATGCTTCCGAAATAGCTAAAGCATGTGATGACGGTGGCGTACATTGCACGTTTATCTCTGCTTATCCTACTCGTAGCCTGACCTATCTCTTCGCGTTCGCTTCGTGCCGAGCCATAGGGAGACATGCCGTCGTCTGAGACACCACCGGGAATCGCCAAGGACAGGAGAATTCAAAGCCGCTGCTGGTCTCGGGGGTGTTCCGCAACGCATACTCACTCGGTAGGTAGGCTGCGGGCTATGGCGACGGATATAGCATCGGAAAGATTCATGAGATGGTCGACCGCATATACGACTTACCCTGTCTTATACGGCTGTATCCTATTACCTCAAATAGGAAGGGCAAGATGGGAAAGTGTCTAATTTTGAGTTCAGTTACGTGATCACTTGAAGATCTACAGCTCTACGTTCGGCGGATTCAATGCCCCAGTCGTTGACCTCGGTGAAGTTTCCTTGCATAGCAGAGAACGACAGACAAGGTAGGGGCAGGATAAGCAAAGCTGAAGTGCGGAGGAGGTGACACCATCCTGGTAGTGAAGTCCCAAGGCAGGTTTTGGACGTTTCTGCACTGGCATCTCGGGTGCTTTAGAGTTTGAGGATGTGCAGGAGGTGAGGAAACAGCGGAAGTCACTTTGTCACTGCCAACTGAGGTACCTTGAGGTAGCCGTAGGTGAACTGGAAATGGCGGGAGGAATGAGGTAACGCTGAAAGTCTTCAGCACGTCCCTGGCATGGGGGTTGGGGGGGCCCCAATCAGAACCTCCTACGGCGTCACACCCGTTACCCTGTTGCGAGTTCCAGCGGGTGAATGGGCGGGAGGGCGACGACTAGACTTTACAGGCACTGAGGTGAGGTGCGCTGCACCGAATTGCACTTCCCACGGGAAGACGGCCACAGTTACGTACTGGAAGTACTACATACTACGTAGGCACCTTGGTCGTCGCTGATGTATTCGGCAGGCAGCTCACTTATGTACCTCTTAAGTACACCACCAGGTTGTCCGAGGCTGGGTCCAGCGTTCCCAGTCATGCCAGTCCACAAATCATCAGCCGGACCCTCCTCTTTCAGTGCTCTCATCCACCGACGTACCCACCTGAAGTGTGCAGCTTCCTGGCAACGATAAGTTGGGAGAACCTTTGCGATACTCTCTCACCCATGCGCCAAACCCCCGGGACCACACCTCTTTCGTTGGCTGGTCCACTCCCGTTGCTGCCCGTTCACTTCACCTCCATCCACGCCCGTCCGTCTCTGCTCGTGTCCTGCCCGCTTCACTAATTCAACGTGCCGGTCCAAATTAACCAGGCGGGCTCCGTTTGTCTAACCCCCCGTCCTGTCCAACACCCTTCTTTCTTCACCTTTCTCTGCGAAACAATCTGTGTCCTGCTTCTTCCAAAGACCCTTTCTACCTGGACGTATACCGTTACATCGAAACAGCCGACACGATCCATTCTGATCAATCGAGTCCTCTGCGAGTCTTCAATCAAACCGAAGCATCTACCATTCAGCATCGTCTCTAGCGCTTCTACCGTGACGACATCACACCCTTCTGCGATCGCACCAAGAGTCTTTCGCACCCACGTATCATATACACACCATCTACGGCCGATATCCGTGTCACCAAACTCATAACTTGCCTCAATTTCGGCGTCGAGAATATTCGACCAAATACACAACCTTCCCAAAGCCATCGTCCCTGGGGCATAGCCGCCTCTGTAGACCATCGTGCAAAACTAGCATAATATCACCACCGAATACTAGCTGCCGCAGTCGAACAACTCGACTGGACTTTGAAAGAAGAAAGCTACCGCGATACGAAACGAATACAAACCTGTGCCTGCTGCCCCTTCTGCCGTTGACGACCTAGTTGGTCTCACCGTGCGATGTGGCGGGGGAGGAGGACCTCGTGAACTGATATCGTAGGGATCGAGGTCGGAAGAGCCCATAGCCTTCCTCGACCCGTCATTCGAACGCGCCTGTATTCGACAATAAACCCACGGGCGTCAACAACCTTCCCGAACGATCCTTACTTCCAACGGCTTTATCGATACCCACCAACTGGCGCTCCAAATCGATCACCACTTGATCTCAAGACACTCGCTTGCCGTTGTCCTTCGCTCACACACTCTTCGGACCTACGTCCCAACGTACTTTGATTCCTATTTGGTCCGAGCACTATACTGAGTTCCACACAACTGCTTTCGGGAATGGATCATCGGTTCCCCATCACCCGCGACGATCTCTTCAACATCCAAATGGATTTGAAGCAAATCCAACTGGTTCAGAGTAATCAGGGCGAGAGACTAATAAGGCTCGAAAGGCGCCAGGAACAAGATGCGAGCCTCAAGTCCGTGTGGCAGCAGAATCCTTTCCCTGGCGTCCTTGCCGGAACCCCTCAGCAAGGTAATGTTAGATCTCCTGCGGGTGTGGTTGCTTTTTTGCTGACGTCCCACTCTCCAGGGCCGACTCACCTCTCACCCAACGACATGTTTGATGATTTCGACGAGCAAGGCCAGCACCTGCTGAGCTCCCTTCACCTAGGACCTGCGGAGGAGGAGCCTACTCGTCGGGGTGCTGCCTCTCGAGCCAACAGCGTACGATTCGACGAGAGTGCATTGCGGGGAGCAGCCGACTGGTCTAGTCAGAGTAATCGCCACTCTGGAGAATTCGGACCTCCCCGACCGTCCAGCGGATTGATGATGGAGCGGTCCTTGTCCCACAAATCGGATGGACGCCATAGCTCTGCCGGCCACTCTGTTCACTCATTTCACTCTGTGGCATCTGGGAGGGCGAGCAGTTTGGGCTTGGACACCAACTTCATGGTCAGCAGTCATGAAGACGACTCTCCGATAGACATGCCGGAGCCTCCACCAGGCCTCTTTTTTCTGGGCTCCGTACCAACCATCATCCGATGTTGGCTTACAACGAGCTTCGCCCACGATACGGTGTTGTATGCTGATCTTTGCACGGGCTCCCAGAAATCCGTGGTCGACTACTCTGTCCTCAAAGATCTCGATCTGTTGGATGAGATTCAACACGATATGGATGGCACGTACAAAGTTCGACTTCCAGTATACCTGGTAGAAGCTACTGTTTCCGAACGCAGCAGCCGATCATCGAGCCCTGGGCATTCAATGCCCTG